TGCCTGCAGTGTCAGAGGCATTCTGTGCTTCTCAGAGGCCCCGCTGGTTTCCAGGTCCACAACTGTGCTGGACATCTGTTTGGGTACCAGGAGCACGTCTGTACTTCAGGTGATTCAGATCTGAGCGTTGGACAAAATCTACACATTTTCACAAATCGTGGGCTTGTGGTAGAGTCACAGCTAAGTCTGGGGATCATTATTAATCAGAGACCACATGGAAAGCTCTCTCCCAAACTGCTTTTTCACTTTACTGTTTTAACTTTTTCAAACACGTAACAATGTAAATTCAAGACAATATAGGCTCACTCCTCAAGCTTCCTCATCTGCCGCATGTTCCTCATGCAGCTGTTTTTATTGTTTTATGTATATTATCCTATTGTTAGGCAACTAAATATACATGCTTATTTTTTCCTCCTCTGCACAATCAGGTAGCCAACAGTTTATGCACATTTTTGTGGGAGACAACTTCAGTGACTCCCTTTGAATCCAAAACAATTCCTGTGACTTTATTTGGAGACTCATTTCCTTATACTAATATGTAAAAAGCTGGCTAGAGTATTTCCTTCTCTCCATAGCCCCCAAAGCAATTCCACTGCTACCTTAATTGGATTATGTAAATTGAGCCTTCTGCATACCTTTAGATCTGCAATTTACAAAGCTGCAGATCTTGCATCTGGCCAGCCAGCTCAAGTTACTCACATAATTCCCGCCATCCTGACTATCACTCATCCCTGAGTCACCTCCTTCTTCACAAGATAATAAATGCTAGGAGAGGCCTAGGATCAAGCCCTTTGTCCACATGTCATCACGTCATGAGGATTGGGTTTAGGACCCCTTGGCTGCCTATAACTTGGAATATATCTTGGTGTCTTTACTCTCGCTGTGGATTGCAATAGTGGTGGTAGATTGGAATTAATTTACTGGGATTCCAATAAATGTCTCGATAGGGTTACAAATATAACTTTTTGGATTGTGAGAAAAACTAGAAAGAGGATTACAGTACTTGAATGACTGAACTTGATATTTGGGTTTACAATATATTTTCACCTTACTTTTTACAAGTAACATTATTTCTTAGGTTTAGTTCCACATAAACACAGATCTGCCTTTCTCAGTCTTTTATTCCTGTAGCACTATGTGTTTATGCAGTATTCCACTGTAAAGTGGCATAGCTCTCTGGCCAATCCTGAATAAATTGACGTTTGAATTTATCATTAGGCTCATTACTCCAAATGAGTCTGCATTCTGAACCTTGTACTTATCTAGTTTTGCAGCTGTAATTTAGTCAAAGGATAAGGTAATTTATGATATATATTACCAAATTATCTTTGACAGAGGTTATGATAATATTCATTCCCACCAGCAGCATTCCTGACCTTGGCTTTAACCAGGAACCCAGGACAATTGTTTATTGCCAGCAAACTGGACATCTGTTCCACACCAGTCCCTGTGCTAAGCAAGTACATGGTAAGGAATAAGGTACCGCTGGTACCTGCTTTCAGTAGAGCGACAGGAGAGAGAACCAGGAGAAGACCCACCTCTACTTGCTGGGTGCCACCATCGGAAGGCCCTTCCCTCCGCATGCCTAGTGTGGGCAGAGAGAACCAGGCAATCTTCCTCTGCCTGCCAGGCACTGCCACCGGAAGGCCCTTTCCTCTGCCTGCTCAGGGCCAGCAGAGAGAGCCAGAAGATCCACCTCTGCCTGCTGTGCACCGCTACCAAAAGGCCACATCCTACAGGTGGCCAGTGTGGGCAGAGAGAACCAGCCAATGCACCTTCACCTTCAGGGAGCTGCCCAGAAAGCTCCTTCCTGCAGGCAGCCAGCAGGAGCAGGGACACACAGCTAGGTAAGCCCTGGGCATCTGTAGGCCACCATTGGAGACCCTTGGCTCCCTCAGGTTGCCATCAGTCACTAGCAGAATCAGACAAACACACCCCTGTATCTGCCTCCATCGAGGGAGTCCCAGTGTAGACACACAGGCTGAAAGAAGCAGCTCCACCCCCTCGCACCCCTGATCATCAGCAAAGCCCCAGTGTAGCTACATAGTTCTAGAGAAGCCTGCTCCACACTCTGCTACCTCCCTGTAAGTCTGGAATTAAAAGAGGAACCCAGGTGCCTGTCCCATCCTCCTACACTGCCTAGAGGCAGCCAACGTGGGAAGTGCCTGGTGCCACATAACCAACTTGTTGGGAGGAACCCAAGAGAATGTCAAAATGAAGCAACCTACAGATAAGTGGACTGTTGTTCCAAGGACTCTTTAAAACTTAAAATTGCCAAATGTATCCAATAATTTTGCTCTTATGTGTTCTTCCTTATGGAGACCTCAAGAAGATACCTCATAATCCATATAATGTTTGGAACTTGGAAAATTACTATTTCACTGGTGAATTATTGATAGCCAATGCTACTATCTATGGGATAATTAAGATAGATTTATGTGCCCTATTAAATAGCATCCCAGCAAAAATTAGACAAAAGAAAATGTTGTTCAGTCCACATGCCATGCTGCATGACTGGTTGCTAATAGAGACTTGCAGGGACCTACATAGTCAAAAAAAATTACAGTCCACTGGCTGGTATCTTTGCCCCCAAAAGCAACAGCCAGCCTCTCATCACAGGTGTTCACAGTCCATAGAGACAAAATATTTTTGTAGACATTGGGGTTGTGAATCTGTATCTCCTTGACAGGAAAATAAAGGGGGTTGTTACCTTTTCCTCACTCGGGAGACCTCATCTTCTGTTCTCCTCCACTAGACTTCCTGTTCTTGAGACCTTTTTGCCCTTTGAGATTTTTGTGCCATCTCTAGACCCCTTCTTGCCTCTGGACATTGCTTATGGCAAATCAGCTTTTAAATTCCTGTGCAGATAACACCACTTGTTGGTGGGATGCGAGGCCCCTGCTCATACTGGACAATGTACAGGGTACTCCAGGAGCCTGTGTTTACTCTGCCTCCTACTCCTTGCACAGTTCCCCTTATGCTGTGCTCTGTAATCTTACCTCTTCAGCCTCGATTTATACTTTTTCTTATCCTGCCAATCAGCACCTTGTTGCTCCCAATGGAGCCTGGTTTGCCTGTACTTCTGGTATAACTCCTTGTTCCATGCATCACCTGTTCACCCATGGCCCTGAGCTTTGCATATTAGTCCATATCTTTCCCCAAGTGTATTGGTACTCTGGAGATAATGGTAGGAGTCACTTGTTCCCTAGCTTTGACTTAAAGAGTCCGGTCCGAGTGAATAGAAATCCTGTACTATTACCCGTATTACTGGAAATTGAGATAATAAGGTTAATAGGTTTAAAAATGTCCAGCCTAATAGAGACCAAAATTATAGACACTCATTAAGTGCACTCATTGACCAAGATCTAGCAGCCCTCAGTGACTCTGTCTCCAAATTAGATGATTCTTTAAGTTCACTGGCTGAGATGGTTTTGTAAAACCGGTGGGGTCTAGATCTCCTGTTCCTGAAGGAAGGAGGCCTCTGTCTGGCAGTAGGAAAAAATTGTTGCTTGTATGCCAGTTATTCTGGGGTTATCTGACAAAGTATCACCAGCCTTAAAAGGCAGCTACAGGAATGAGAACAAGCCAGACAAGCTGAACAGAATTGATTTAAATGATGGTTTTCTCTATCTCCCTGGTTGACAATGTTAATCACAGCAGCCCCTGGACCTCTGTTATTCTTATTTACCTGTTTAACAATTGGACCTTGCATTATAAACAAATCAGTAAATTATGTCCAAGATTGGGTTCAAACTATAAAACTCATGATTTTAAAGACACAAGTTTATGAACAGATACCTCTGCTTGAAAACTCCATGAGCATTGGCTCACTGACAGAAATCAGTGGGGAATGTTATGCTCTATGCTTATTGCCCTAGTAACCATGTACCTGGAGCACTGACCACATTATGAATTTGTTATAAATTAACTGACCGTGTCATCATGCTGTTCTGCATTGTTTCCCCCCACCTTAGTAACCTGTTTGCTGTGTCAACTTTTGTTCCCCTTGTAAGAGACAAATGATGCTGCGTCAACCATTGTTCCCTTTATGAGAGATAAATGTTCCTGGAATTGGCAGACCAAGGACTATGAATTGGCTAACCACCCACTGTGAAATGGGTGGCCTCAAGCAAAGGGGAACAAAGGCCCACCTTGTTTCTGTTTCTCATCACTATGTACTTAATGATCAATGAACTAATCATAAATGAACTATAAAAATCAGTCAAAATTCTGACTCAGTTGCACAGCTTTGTAAATTCCATCTGCACTATGTCGCTGGGCCAGCTAAAATAAAAGTGCTTCTTTTAAAAAGACGTCACTGTCTTGCCCTGTTTTTCATCTCATGAGGCCTTGTTTTCTTGGGGGGGGTAACAACAACATACCTCTGAGAGGATAGCAACTGAGATAAGGAAACAACTTCATGAGATTGTAAAAGTAGTCAAATCAGTAGAGTGAGAGACAGACTCATTTGACGATCAAATCAGCGTATGGCCAAGCACCACAGCACAGTATAGGAAGTACTATGAGGACCTGAACCAGTGGACTTTTCATTCAGCAAGGACTTCAGAACAGGTAGCAGTCACACTAGGCTGAGAGACAAACAAGTTGCCAAGGGGCAGAGAGGTGATCCACACAGAGGGAACCATGAGCTGTAGTTTAGATGGTTGTTCCCAGAGTAGCACTGATCGAGCAGGAAGCACTAAATGCTAGAGAGGCAAGAAAATTCCAGGGGCTGGGGACGCTGGTCTTTAGTTATTGGCAAAAAGTCTTCTTCATCCCATAAGAACTGAGAAGTGAGATGACCTTCCAGCCATACTCTGCCCCTTCTCCTCCCTGGGCTCCAACCTGCCAGTCTGAGGATCTATGTCTTCTTCCCCCTCAGTGAATCACTTAATACCTTGCAGACCTCACAATAGCTACCAGGTGGGCCAATTGTGATGCAGCAAATGCTGTGACTGTCCTTTGGGTTTCCATTGAAGTGTCGGAGAAATAAACTCCAGTCATTAACACCTCTCATCCAAGCCTGTTGCTGGAGTATCATCAGAAATGGAAAAATGGTTGTCAAGGGTTGGAACACAGAGGGCTGGACATTCAGGGGCCAAAGAAAGGGACACTGAAGAGAGCAAGTCAAACAAGAATGGAAAGTTAGTCAAAATCCTTAATGACAACTGTTACCACTTACATCAAGCCTCTGTGTGTTGTCAAGAGCACCAGCGTCCTGCGTTACCACTGGGGTGAGTGTGGCCTGTGCTTCTAGGCCATGTAGAGCTGGCCTTAGCCTGCTTAATGGAAAGCTACACTCTTGGATTTTTGGACTCTGACAACTAGACAGACCCTTTCCAGAGTTCTAATTCACCTACCTCCCTGCTTGCAGGATCTGCACCAAATTCAACAAATCAGACCCTCGCATTGCCCTAGGAAAGTACTCCCCCTTGGAAAAAGAGATCCTGGTAAGTGGCCGAGAATTTACACTTAAGAGAGGCCTCCCTGATGCCTGCCAGTGAGCTGGAAGGCCCTCAATTCCAAACCCACTGACAATAAAGAAGTCTCCCAACAGAAGACTCTAGTTGCCTTGGTCTGCTGGTGGATTCCACACTTACACAGCAAAATATAGTACTCTCTTATTTAAAAGTCCCAATTAGGAACATAATGTTAAGTAATTACAGATGATAGAAATGGTCTCTTTTGAGCCCTGATCTTATATTCATTGCTTTCTCAGACATGGTCTTGTGAAGGCTTCAAATGGCTCTTTAAAGTCAATAATATTCTTGCAAATTCATAGTACATAAGAGGATAGTAAGGATTTGAACCCAAGCTCAACTGACCCAGAAGGTCCACCATGTTCACATCACATGAAGGTCACATCATCACAGAAATGTAGGGAGAACCAACCACTAGCTAATTCTGGGAGGTCTACCTGTCTCTGTGCATGAATATTTTAACAATCCCCTTCCCACTATCAGCGTCTAGGTGGTGTTCATACTAAAGCCACAAGAAGGTTTTTGGCTTCCAAACAAGAGGAAGAACGGAAAATGGTGAGGGACCTGAGGCTTCTGTCTCCAGACTGCAAACAGGCAATGGAATGTAAAAATCAACCTTCCCCTCCATGTGCTATGAGTGGACCTGTAAAAAAATTATGGACTGCACAAGTAATTGTGCCTGCTGAGGAGTTCAAAATGCCCGAGCGGGAGAAGATCAATATCAAGAAGCACGTGGAAAGAATGCAGTTGGCCAGAGCCTTAGAGAATAAGCAGGTTTCCTCCTATGCTGAGAGACTCAGGACATCCATGTTTGTGCACCCAACAGCAAAGGGCAATGGGAGAAAAGATGGGGACAGTTCTGACAGTGATAATATCAAGCAGGAGGAGAAAAAAGAGGGAGAGAGCAAGGTCACAAGACAAAAAATAAAAATGAATGTCATTTTCAAGTCAGAAGAAGCAAAAACGTATTTTCCATGCCAACCACATGATTGCAAGCCTTTTCTTCCCATACAAACACTGGAACGATCCATCACAGGCCTAACAAACCGAAATCTCCTTCCCATAGCTAAATTCCCTGGAGACCTCATGCTCATGAACCAGGAATTTATATCCCGGAGAAATTACTCTGGTGATATGAACAGTATCTACCACCTGCAAAAAAGACAGTGCCTGTAAGAAGTATGTGGGTATGAGAGAATCGACTCCCCGTTTGTAATGTAACCCCCCCCCCCTGAGCTATAGAACAGAGCAGTAAGGAATGTGTCACTCCCTAAATCCTCCTTGAGATATCGGGGCAGGACAGGAAGGAATGCATCTGCTAGTCATTAACCACAAGATGATCTGTCCTCTGTAAAGATAAAGATAAGTAAAGGAATGTGCTAGATTAGACCAGGACTCTCGGTCTCCATGGTTACTCAGCCCCAGACCCCTCGAATCAGCATCTGCCAAGTCCTGCGCCGTTCAAAATTAACCAATGCGATCTGCTTCTGTAAACCTGCTTGCTTCCCGCTTGTGCCCTTAAAAACCCTGCACAAATTCCCCTCGAGGCCCTCTGCACTCGTTTGCCTGGAGGACCCCATGCGCATGGAAATAAACTTTTTTCCCTCACCAAGAGTTGAGTCCTTGGGGTCTCTTTCACTGCGGCGTCGGCCCTAACATCTTGGAGGCCCCAGCGAGATGGCACGTCTCACGGGAGGTGACCTCAATGGCTCTGCGGTGAGTGAGTACGACCGGTCGCTTCTTATTTTTACTCTGAGGATCAATCTACCGGTATTTTACGCCCCGAGCCAAACGGCTCCGATCTAGGGGCAATTTTTGTTACCTGTTTTTGTTATCTGTTATCTGTTCTCTGTTCTCTGGTGACCGGGGGACGCCCCACATGGTTTTCTGTGACTCACCGTTTGCAATAGGATTTTCCTATCGGTTTGGGGAATTTCATTCCCAATCTGTGGTCCGTCCGGGCCAATTCGGAGACACCCTCTGAGGTGACTCGTTTGGGGAATTTCATTCCCAATCTGTGGTCCATCTGGGCCAATCTGGAGGCACCCCCTAAGGTGACTCGTTTGGTGTGAAACTGATGCGTGAGAGTGAGGTGGCCGGCCTGTTTGTCCTGTGTGTTGTGGGTGTTGTGATTGGTTATTTGTTGTATCACGCTTGCGTTAACCGCCCTGTGACTATAGAACATCATGGGACAGTCGACTTCATCCCCATTGTCCCTCACCCTCGACCATTGGTCGGAGGTGCGGAAGAGGGCTCACAATCTCTCCTTGCAGGTCAAGAAGAGTAAATGGCAGGATTTCTGCTCGACTGAGTGGCCTACTTTTTCTGTGGGATGGCCACCAGAGGGGACTTTCCACCTTCCCCTCATCTTAGCAGTTAAGAACATCATCTTCCGCCCCAGATGAGAGGGCAGGTCACCTACATCTTGGTATGGCAGGACCTCAGGGAGGAGCCCCCACCGTGGGTAAAACCCTTTCTTCCTCCGCCCTCTCCTTGGTTGCCTGTTTAAATTTGTTACTAACTTAGGGGCTTGTTGCCCATTTCTGTTGTAGGATCCATATGGCTTATTAAATTCAAGGTTCATGATAAGAAAAATTATTTCCTTTAGCTGACCAAACTGTACAAGAAGCTCCCTTTGTTTGTGTCTTTAATGTTGTGGCACCTTGTTTAATATGTAAGACTTCAATTGATTGCTTGCAACCTCGGCATGCCTTTTAAAAGGAGTATTTTTTTCTCTCTGGTGAAAATGTAAACATGTGCACATATATATGTATATCTATGGTTGTTAAGAGTCATGTCAACTTTGCCAAGTAAAAACCAGGTGATACTATATTTGAGCCAGTTAAAAGGTTACAGTTTTGTTTTTAAAATACAGCATTTTTATGTGGTAAAAAGACATAAAATAAGCATTTTTTTAGACTACTAAAAGGTGACTTCAAGGGTTTTGTTGAAAACTTTGATGTTGTCTGAGAAGTGAGAAAAAAGGTAATTGACTGGTAATAGTAAAAAGAGGGACAAAGAGAGTGGTCTTCAAGTAAAGGTGTCTGGCTATGCCAGAATATAGAAAAAGATTAAAGCTTAGTTTGAGAGGTATTATTGTAAGTTGTAGAAGGCTCAAGAGGATGTGAATTTTATTTGTCTTGGTTTATAGTACTACAAATAACAGGTTTGACAAGAAGTAAATGTGTTCAGAATTTGACAGTATTAGATCAGTTTTGGTAGAAGTATACATAAGTTTGTACTTTGCTGCAAAATGTTTTCATTAAAATGAGATTATAGGTGATACTAGAAATAAGATACAAGTTCTTGCATGTACTGTGAACATCTGGGAGATTATGCAGCACAATTTTGTTACCTGTGAAAAAAGCCCTTTTTGTTAAGAATATAATTTTAGTAAAATGATGGCCTGTCACGTGACACCCTTGGACAAGAAGCAGCGTGCCATCCAGATGAAGCCGGCTCTCTGATCCAGAATGCCAAAACCTTGTTCTCCTTTTGTGCCACTCTGACTGGACATCCAGCGGTAAGGAGGTTTCCCAATATCGCCAGTTGTTCTTTTTGTAACTCAGTCGGCCCCACATGTTAGACAAAAATTACAAAGGTTTGAGAGGTTTAAGGAAATGCCCCTCAGCCAGTTAATAGAGATAGCACAAAAAGGTCTTTGAGAACTAAAAAATTTTCAAAAAGATAGCCAAGGTGTTAAAATTACTCTATGAGAAAAAAAAAAAAACTTTTAAAAAACAGACGAGACTTTCTGGAGACAGTTGGATACTGTAGGCTAAATTTTACTGAAAAGCTTGCCTCTGTATGACTCCCATAAGGGAGAAACTCAAAATTCGCTGAACTGGACTGATAAATGTAAACAGGCCTTCCAACAGCTCAAGCGGGCCTTGACTGAGGCCCCAGCCCTGGGACTCCCTGACGTTACCAAGCCTTTCACCTTGTTCATAGATAAACTCAGGGACATTGCCAAAAGAGTCCTAACTCAGGACATTGGCCCTTGAAAGAGGCCTATAGCCTACCTCTCCAAAAGACTTGATCCAGTAACAGGAGTATGGCCCCCTGCCTTAAAATACTAGCTACTGTGACAATGTTACTTAAGGAAGCGAAGAAACATGCTTTGGGCAAGTGATTTCTGTGGTAACTTCTCACAGTTTAGAGACACTTATCAAAACCTCTCCTAAAAAAAGGCTCTCAAACACCAGAATTCTACTGTCAAGCCCTGCTTCTAGACCCAGAGTCAATGATATTCAAGACTTCTTCAGCTTTAAACCCAGCCACCCTTATGCCTGATGATGATCCGGAGGAACAAAGGACACCTCTCTCCATGAGTGCGCTGACATCCTCGAACTGCAGCAGAACCTACAGGCTGATCTTACTGACCAGCTTTTGGGAAATGCCGACAACTGTTCGATGAAAGCAGCCTCATCCAAAACGGCAAACGAATGGCCGAGGCAGCAGTGACCACCAAAAAGGAGGTACTCTGGGTTAAGCGGGTAGAGCCTGGCACTTCTGCCCAAAAGGCGGAGTTTGTTGCTTTGACTGAGAGGCTAAAACTAGCCACGGAAAAGAGGGTAAACATTTTTTACTGAAGATATCCCTTTGCTACTGTACATATACGTGGAAGCCATCTAAAAATGCTCCACAGATTCTAGATTTGCTGGCAGCTGTCTGGCTGCCTCAATGGGTTGCTATTCCTTACAAGGCTCACCCAACCGGAGACGAAAAATGGCAACCACATCGGAGGGGTCAACCAAGCAAGTAACTGCTCTGATACTAGTCCTCTGACCTTGTCAGAACCAGTCTACACAAAGACCTACAGTTGGCATCTCAACTTGGAATAAAGTCTACCAGTTACCTGATATACAAGTACGGTTACTGGAGACACTAGGGCAGGAGCTGTTATACCGGGCTCGCCAGACTACTCATTTAGAAAAAACTAAACTTGTGGATTTGTCCAGAACTCAGTATTTTATTCCAAAACTCTACAAACTGACCACCTCTTCGAGCTCTAGATGCCCACAGTGCTTGTTAGTCAACTCAGCCAAGAGCTCTGCGTTGGAGACCACCCGACATCAAGAAATTGTTCCAGGAGAACATTGGGAAATAGACTTCATGGACATTGTAAAACTTCATTTACAGGGACACTGCTATCTCTTGGTATTAATAAACATTTTTACTGGCTGGGTAGAGGCTTTCCCTACTAAGTCTGAGTTAGCCTTAGTGGTAGTTAAAAGGCTATCGCATGAGATCATACCTTGATTTGGCCTCCCACTATCAATGGGGTCCGATAATGGCCTGGCTTTCATAGCCCGAGTCACCCAAAAGTTAGCCCAGGCATTAAAGATTAATTAAAACTCCACTGTGCCTATCAGCCACAAAGCTCAGGGCAAGTAGAACGTATGAACCAAAGTCTCAAGGACATTTTAGCTAAGCTGTTTTCAAAAACTGGCAATAATTGGATGAGCCTTCTTCCCTTTGCACTGTTAAGAGCTAGATATACCCCATATGTTTCTAAAATTTCCCCCTTTAAAGCCATGTTTGGGAGGCCCCCGCCATTGGTTCCAAGATTGTCAGAAGACAAATTAGCTAAAATTACTAATCGAGATCTTAAGTCCCTGCAGACACTCCAACCTGTGTTGGCCTGGATCCACCAGCTGTTTAGACAAAAACACTTGGACCCGCCTTCAGAGACCAAGGCCCCAGGGACTCCAGTCTTGGTTCGATGTCACCACCATGACTCCCTCAAATCCTGCTGGGAAGGACCTTTCACCGTGGTGCTCAGTACCCCCCACTGCCATCAAGGTAGCAGGAAAAACTGCGCGGATTCACTACACTCATGTAAAGCCACTGGAAACAGCAGACAACGAGGGACATACTCAGTGGACTACACAACAGACTGGTAACCCTTAAAGTTAAAAATTGACTAAAACATAGTTAGATTATGCTGGTCATGAACTGTTTTAGCTTGCTTGTTTTGATTTTAATAACATTAATGCCAACCTTGCACGGCGGCTTTGGTCCCCCTGTAAGCAAAAAAAAAAAAAAAAAAAAAAAAAAAAAAAAAAAAAAACAATTGTTAAAGATCTTTGTATGGGAGCCCCCTTTAAAAAAATGTAAAACAGAATTCTCCCCTATCTCCTTCCCTTGATAGGACCATTAGTGACCTTAATCCTAATCCTAGCCATTGTCCCTTGCCTCATTAACTGGATTACCCAATTCATAAGGGGACAAGTTTCTCAGGTCAAAGTAATGGTCATAGGTCAACAATATGAACCCCTAGCTACAACATACCTCTAAGATTAGAGGTCATCCACAAGAAAAAGGGGGGAATGAGAGAATCGACTCCCCGTTTGTAATGTAACCCCCCCCCCCTGAGCTATAGAACAGAGCAGTAAGGAATGTGTCACTCCCTAAATCCTCCTTGAGATATCGGGGCAGGACAGGAAGGAATGCATCTGCTAGTCATTAACCACAAGATGATCTGTCCTCTGTAAAGATAAAGATAAGTAAAGGAATGTGCTAGATTAGACCAGGACTCTCGGTCTCCATGGTTACTCAGCCCCAGACCCCTCGAA